TGAAGTCGGAATGAGCTCAAACTTTCTACACAGCATAAGTACATCAATATGCATCAGAAAATGTAATAAAAATTGAGGGTGATTTTGGAGCCATTTTTTGGAAAAAACCATGGGCTATAGCCTTGGGTAATTTTCAGATTTTCACCATTTTCTTAAAATGGCCATAACTTGAAAAATTGAAGTCAGAATGAGCTCAAACTTTCTACACAGCATAAGTACATCAATATGTATCAGAAAATGTAATAAAAATTGAGGGTGATTTCGGAGCCATTTTTTGGAAAAAACCATGGGCTATAATAGCCTTGGGTATTTTTCAGAATTTTGATGTTTTCTTAAAATGGCCGTAACTTGAAAAATTGAAGTCAGAATGAGCTCAAACTTTCTACACAGCATAAGTAGATCAATATGTATCAGAAAATGTAATAAAAATTGGGGGTGATTTCAGAGCCATTTTTTGCAAAAAAACCATGGGCTATATAGCCTTGGGTATTTTTCAAAATTTTGATGTTTTCTTAAAATGGCCGTAACTTGAAAAATTGAAGTCGGAATGAGCTCAAACTTTCTACACAGCATAAGTACATCAATATGTATCAGAAAATGTAATAAAAAGTGGGGGTGATTTTGCAGCCATTTTTTGGAAAAAAAAACCATGGGCTATATATAGCCTTTGTTTTGTCCTTTCAGCATAGAATCCAACTATATAATCAATGTGTTCATTTCTATTATAGTTTGATGTTGCTCTTGAGGACATATTCTTCATGTGTCCTCCTGAGAATGCTGAAGAAAGAGCTGCTAGAAGAAGTGGAGAAGGAGATCAAAGTGACCAATACATCAATCTCTTCACTGTGGGACCAATCACGGAAGAATCTAGAAAAGTTACTGGTAAGGATTAAGAAAGAAAGAAATGTAATCGCCTAAATGCAACTTAAACTTATTGTTATTATTATTTTATAGTTAATCTGTTGTTAGAAAGGTTCAATACTGCATCTGACATTGCTAAGAAGTGTCTTATGCTGGCAGTTAGGCCTCTACTGATCAATGGGGTAGATGTGAGGAGTCAGTTTCTACGTTACATACCACCAAAAGAGTAAGCAGTGATTGCTATAGTGTAATTATAATGCATTGTACATGCATGAGATGCTATTGCTTTTTGTAGTCTTTTTGAGCCAATAGAAGATGAAGAGGGTCCCATTGCAGAAGAGCAGCAATCATCCATTAGAACTATCCTTGATTTAAGGAAAGCAATAGGAGAGGCTTCTTTTATTAAAGTCGGTGACGATGAAGGACTAACTTGTTATTGTGGGGACATTGAGTGTGTCATAGAAATGAAACTATACAGATACACTAGAGCAAATTGATCTTGAATATGTATCCAACTATCCATCATTAATTTTAGTGATTATCTCCATCATAACTCACAGACTGTTTCTTATGTAGATGAATGCTGGTTTTAAACAAAGTACACACATATATATATATATAGTTAATCAAATTTATGGCTTAATGGAGACATTGTTTCTGCATGGTGACACTTCATGATCAGACCTCTGTTATCTCTACTTCCTTTTAATAATCTGCCAACTGTCTACTGATAAGCAACTGCCATCCAGCCCATGCTAAGAATGTGGTTTCTACTATATCAACAACCAGGTGTACTTGCTATAGTACAAGCCAGTTTAATCCTCCTATATGCATTAGCCTCAAAGCTATGTAGGGCCAGCCCCTAGACTCCTCTATCACCCCATAAGGAGAAGAGAAGAGAAGAGCAGGAATGGCTGGTACTGCTGGTGCAATTGCTGGAGCTGTGATGGAGAATGCAAGTGCTGACAAGATTGTGTTCAGT